ATTCCGTAAGTCAAGAATCAATATAGTTATTTGAAAAGCTAAGGACAAGATGCTTGCAATAGCTATCTCAAAGAGGAGGCTAATTCCCATAACGTATAAAGAGTTCTTGGAAGCCAGCAGGAGAAAATACTAACAATGCAACAGTGAGCAGACAATTTACAGAAGAAATGGCATGGGCTAATAAAGCTGTGAAAGAATATTTAATACCACAAGTTGAGAAAAAAGGGGGGAAAGAATTTCAAATTAAAGTAGTGAGAAAGCCATGCCATGTTTCACTTACCAAATTGGCATGATTTTTTTTTTTTATGCTAACACTGTATTCATTGCTGTCAAGGGTGTGGTGAAGCCGGCATACTCAGTGAGGCAAGAGTATAAACTGGTACAGCCGTTCTGGAAAGCATCTGGAGCCATGTATCAAAAAGAACTTTACAAACATTAATATACACTGATCCAGTGCATTTAACCCTTAAAATTTTGTCTTAATACTTCTAAGAATTTATTCTAAGTAAAATACAGGTATCAGAAATATAGAGACTGGTGTATAAGAATGTGAATTTCTGGATTATTACAAAAGCAAAAAAATGAGGGAAAACTCAACATTTAGAGAAAGGGTTTAATAACTGTCTAAGATTCATCAAATGGAATAATGTTCAGCCATTGAAAATCATTTAATGAATATTTAATGACATCAGAAATGCTTGTAAAATAATGTTAAATGAAAACAGATTAAGAAGCTGATTTCCAGTTTATTAAAAACATCAGTAGAGAGACAAAAAGCTAATGCCAGTTACCTCTGGGTGATTCTGAAATTTTCCTGTATTTTCTAAATTCTCAGAAATGAGTATATATTTGTTTATGCATACAAACATATGTATATAAAATATATATTACTAAGAAAACTTGCCTCGTGCTTGCAGTACTGTATGACTTCTCATGCTTTGCCATTAGGCGGCATAATTTGAGCCTTAAAATTAAGAACCTCCTTCTCCCAGAGTTAGCTAATAGCAAGGTCTCAAAGTTGAAAAGGATCCTAGTTATCTAGTCCAGTGATTCCCAAACTTGCGTAGGCATCCAAATAACCTGATGGGCTTTTAAAACAGAGCCGGCTAGGTTTCTGTTTCAGTAGGTCTGGATGCCTGAGAATTCGCATCTGACAAGTTCCCAGGACATGCTGATGCTGCTGGTCCAGGGACCATACTTAGAGAACCAGTAATCTAGTCCAACCTCTCAATTTATCAATAAAGCCCAGACTTCTCCTCCTCCCCCAGCAAAAATGTTTGCTGTTTGTCCAGCTATGTTTGCAAGCCTCTGATGGTAGGAAACACTCTTATGAAGCAGAGTGTCCTTAGAAGTTGCAGAACCCAGAAATAACTCAGACCTGAAAGATCATGCAAGCCCTTTTTTGCTCCCCTAGACTAACATTAAGCAGGAATATTTCCTTAACTATTTTTTTAAATATCACAGAGACTAGTTGAGACCTTTTGGGTTTGTGCCTTTCTGTTTTTCTCCAGCTGAAATTAGGGAAGACTCAGATACTTCCTAGGTGATTTGGGGTGGGTCCACACTTATGGTTATTGACCATTGTGCTGATCATGATCTGAATCACTTGCCCTGAGAGGGCAAAATTCAGGAAGGAGTCATCCATTATTACTTCTCTTGAATAATAAAAATGTGTTCATTTTCAGGAAACGGCCCCCATAACAAAGCAAATCGCCCCCCCCCCCAACTAGTGCAATTTAAAAATGTACTCCATTTTAAAGGGGAAATTACATGCTACAGTCGTTTTGTGAATTTGAGCTATCACACAAGAGTCCCCTGGATCAGTTCTCTCTGTAATGGAGCAGAGAACAAAGAACACGGGGCTGCTGTTCTTAGTGCTCATCAGATGTTGTAAATGTCATGAAAGGTCTTCAAGAAAATCACAGAGATGTTAGTTAATTGCCTGACAGGCCCAATTAGCAAAGAAGTCTGAGTTGTAACTAAAGAGACGTGGGATGCAGGTTTAGCCACATTGAACTACCCATCTACACTGGGATTCTAACTATTTAATTCACTGACCTCTCCTAATTTGGGGGTAAGGGAGTAAAAGACTGACATCTCTTTGACTGGAAGTGAGGAAATGATCTCACAGTTCTTGCATTCAGTGTATGAACATACAGTGAGCTCTCAATTATCTGCAGTAATAGAATCCACAAACCACATCAAAATGTCATGTTACCCAGGATCTATCCCATCAAGACCTTTGTCAAAACTGCTGAAAAACCAGAGGGGAGGGATTTTAGTTTCACTTCCTCGTCTTTTCCCTGGAGGTGCTAACAAGCAATAAATTGCTCAGCTAGAGGGAGAAAAAGGAGAAGCAAGGCTCCTCTATGGTCTAAAAAATGGGCTCCATCAGCGGGAAATGTAGGCATTGCACCACTTGGCACTGTCTGCCCCAAACATGATCGTCTCCACCCAGTACGCTCTCTTCTTGCTTCTTGCGCATCAGTCACTAGTTCCACAGCGTGCACTCTGAAAGGGCAGTGGGTCAGGGAATACCAACGTGAGTAAGATGAAGCTCTTTCCCTTGAGGAGTGAGAGCAGGCTCACCACAAGGAACTCTCCACAGATAGCCATCGTCAGAGAGCGCTAAGTTTCACACCAGAGGTAAGTGGTGTCGGTCCCTCACCATGAATTCTGGAACAGGCATAATGCCCATAATAAGGCCCATAACACAAAATGGCGCTCAGTGTACTTCTTGGTCTACTTCTCTGGTGACCACAACACAGCACCAGGTTTACTCCCCTTCCAGGTCTCCAGGGCAGTGGAGACCAACACAGCCGTCGCCCTCAGCTTCCACCACCCAGGTTGTGCTGATTCTCTTTTGGTCCCACCTTTGTCTTTCCACATCCCAGGGCCTTATAAATTTAGACCTGGCTTGCAGTAGGCTCTCCCCAACTCCAGCTCATCCTGACAACAGCTGTGGGATATTTTCCCTCAAACTCTTTTTTTCATCATGTTATTCTCCAGCTTAGAAAATTATCATAGTTCCCCATTAGCTCACATCAAAGCAAGTCTCAGCCACCTGCCTTTTAAAGCCTTGCACCAGCTCACCCACCTGTATCCTGGACTTCATTTCCCATCCCAGGCCCACATTTAACCAGCTCATACGTGACTCCTCTACCCAATGCCATCCCCTTTCTCCTTTTACCAACACATTTCCTCCCATTCCTTGCAAATCTTAAAATTCTTCCTCAGTTGCCCTATTTAGGCTCTTCTCATTCCTTACCTAACTTCTTTTGGACACCACTTAGTTTATTCCACATTCATTTAAACTTGTTGATAGGCCTCTCTCTTCAAAAATTCTTCTGTTCTTTGTGATCACACCGTCATTTCCAATAATGTGGTAGAAACCCTGAGAATGAGTTCATAGAGACACATTCTCCTACTCCTCCAATGTTAAGATAGTAATTACTTAACTGTGAGCTTTCACTGACAGTCCACCATTGATCTTCACAACTGCTTTAAGAGGAAAATAGGACAATATGTTATTATCCTCATCTTCCGGCTTAGCCAGCATAGCTTTGAAGGTAAAATGATTGGTCTAAAGGCTTACAGCAAAGGAGTAGGAGTTCTGGGACCAAACCCAGGTCTTTTCAGACCCAAACCCATGTCTTTGAATCCTAACTTCCTCTTGTTCCCACGTTATCTTCCTATCTGAACATGTGTCATACTAGATAATCTTACCTAACTTCTTTTGGACACCACTTAGTTTATTCCACACTCATTTAAACTTGTTGATAGGCCTCTCTCTTCAAAAATTCTTCTGTTCTTTGTGATCACACCGTCATTTCCAATAATGTGGTAGAAACCCTGAGAATGAGTTCATAGAGACACATTCTCCTACTCCTCCAATGTAAGATAGTAATTACTTAACTGTGAGCTTTCACTGACAGTCCACCATTGATCTTCACAACTGCTTTAAGAGGAAAATAGGACAATATGTTATTATCCTCATCTTCCGGCTTAGCCAGCATAGCTTTGAAGGTAAAATGATTGGTCTAAAGGCTTACAGCAAAGGAGTAGGAGTTCTGGGACCAAACCCAGGTCTTTTCAGACCCAAACCCATGTCTTTGAATCCTAACTTCCTCTTGTTCCCACGTTATCTTCCTATCTGAACATGTGTCATACTAGATAAATGTTGATGGACGGATCATGCAGATGGTTAAAATGGCAGTGTTACCAGGCCACATTCAACAGGAGTTAAACATTTTGAAACCATGCCCTGAGGATAAGGTAGGGCAAAAATGAGAATTCACCAGTCTTTCACTTCTAATTGACTTGAGGTTTGCAGGAGAAAATACTCATAAAACCTAAAATTTTTAAAAATATGCTTTTAAAAGAACATTGGATTTTCCCTAGAAGGTTAAGAAAAGAGGAAACACCAAAGGGACTCACTTGAAAACTCTCCACATGATGTTGCTTGAGTCAGAGGCCAGAAGCCTCAGCTGTGAGTTACTACCAGTTGACATCTCTGCACTGCCTTGGCAGGAATGGCCAGGAGCAGGGGGTACTGGGAATCTAGAGAACTGGATTCTAGCGGTTCTGCCCCTCTCTCTGTGACTTCAGGCTAATGTAAGCCTCAGCAGGCCTCAACAAGGCCTCCATTCCTTTATCTGTCCTGCTAAGGGGTCGAATGCAATGGTCCCTGAGGTCTCCTCTGTCTGTGACATTTTGAGAGTCTATGAATAGCAAGGACACAAGACAGGTGCGAGCTGATCACCACGTGGGACGCTCACACCTGTCTCTCCCCAGTGTTTCCGCCCCTCACTTCCAGCAGTGCCAAACTCCAGGCCCCATCAGGGTCCAGTTGCCAATTTTGAAGCTGTTCAAGGACAGTTGTCCTTCTACATAGACTCCTTCCAACCCAAAGCTGTCCTGCCTTCCTTTCTCTGCAACTCAGTCTGCCATAGGCTACTGGAATTTGCATGCCACTAATTCATTTCTGCCTCTACTTTTAGATTAAAATCACCCACAAGAACCAAGCACCCATGATGATGGGACCTCCCCAGAAGAGCAGCTTCTTTTCACTGAGGAGGAAGAGCCGTTCAAAAGACTAAACAATGTGCCAAACGCCAGTTAAACCAACTGAGAAAATGAGAAACTGTAACACACACACACACACACACACACACACACACATTCACACACTCTTCTCTAACCAGTGGAAGCAAAGCCACCCTTCAGGAAGCAACCTTCACCTTGCCATTCTCTCTTTCAGCAACGGACACACCAAACAGAGCCAGTGCCAAGGGAATTTTGAATGTACTTAGGGCCCACCACAGCGTGGCTGGCTCATGCAGCAACCTCCACATTCCCAGAAGGCCTCGAGCAGGACTTTCTGAGACTGAAGAAGAAATTCCCCTTTTTCCCACCAGCCCTGCAAGTTTTCTCATGAGGCTCACAAGGAGCAGGTTTCCTGCCTATGGCAAGATCAGATGTGGCCAAGGGAAAGTGCTCCCATTCCAGACCACTCGCACACACAAAGGTCCCTCTGTACAGAGACAAATGGCCTCCGACTCTGAGCATAACCCTTGGCAGGGCTCAGCAAGCGCACGTTGGTTTCTTGGTTGTCTTTGAGCAGCAACTTCTCCCTGAACTTGCTGAGGAGGCAGAAAGGCTGTGAGAAGCTGTGTTTCCATTCTTGGTTCTCCCCACCGTCAGTGGGCACTTGCTCCTTTCCCCAAGCCTTCTCCTGGTGGCGGTATGCTTGTTCAGAGATGGCTCCCAAAGCCTCTGAGCCTTCTGCGCAGCACACCTTAGATGTGTTTATTTCCTTAGTTCTGTGAACACCTGGGAGGGAAAGCAGAGAAACTGGGATTTATTTTCCAAATTGGTGTCATAATATTGTGTAAAAAGGGAAGGAAAAAAAACACCCCCAGCTTCTTTCTTTTTCAAGCCAAAGTGTGTTTCCTGTTTGAGTTCCAAGCCCTGGTGGCAGACTGTTCCTGAAGGCAGAGAAGATGGGAAGAAAGGGCCTTTTGCTGAGCAGACCAGGATACAAACCACCAGGTGATGCCCTCTGACCTCTTGGCACCTACCACTCCCAGAGTATGACTTAGAGGCCCTTCTGATGGTCTGACGTGTGTGTACATATATGTAGCATATATATTTATATTTATATATAAATATAAATATTTATTTACTGACGGACTTTTCCTGACTGGAAAAAAAAATGTAATACAGGAGCAGAAAGTGGGAAAGAAAAAGAAGGTTCTTACTTCCCCATTCTACCATTTCATTGTCAAGACACATTTCCCTATGGTGATCATGAGATTTAAGGGAAATGAAGTGGCTTCTTATCATAAAGAAACTGAGCATTCCTCTTCTAGATCCTCAAAACAACCATAAAAGATATCCTGGGCAGGATTTCTCTCCCATTTGTCAGATAAGGAAACTGAGTCTTGGAAAAATTAAGAGACTCGTCCATGATATCTTGGCTAACGTGGTTTGAGAATAAGGTCCACTGAGAAGATATTTAATAGGGAAAAGAACACACATCTTGGAATAAGGTCATTTCTGGTCACTGAGAAATGACTCCATTTGGATCCAGATCGTCAGGGGAGAATGAATGCACAGCCCACGTGTGGCTGGGACATGTCCACTGAGAAAATGAGGGCCTTAGGATGCTTCCCTGAGATTCTCTCTGACCTGACCTGGTGAGAATTAGGTCTGAGGTTGAAGGTGCCAGACAGATCATCAGATTAAACTCTCCACATTGTGGCATGTCATGGTCATCATAGTCTCTTAGTCTGGAAACACCTCTGGCTGTAGGGACAGCCTGAGTGGAGAATCACAGGGGGACTGAGGCCCTTTCTGCAAGGTGCTGCCAGCCAGTACCCAGAGGGCCTTGGCACCAGTCAGTGAGCTTCATGCAGCTGGTGCTGGCGTTAGCCTCCTTTCCCGAGGTGAGTCTATGTAGAGCTTCATTGGTAGAAAGAAACATTTGCCTCAGCACCTTTGCTTCCTTGGGACTCCATCCCCTCCGAGATTTTCTCCAGAGGAAACCTGGGCCCACTTGACATTGTTCCACTGAGCTCCCACTAATCTTGCACTGGGTCAAGAGCTTTGCACAAGGAAGGGAAAATTAAGATTGTGCATACACATTGATCTTAACTCTGAAGGAAGCAGTCATCTAGCACCAACTGGGATGGAGATCTAGGACCATCCTGCTCAACGGACCAGTGCAGAACACTGGGCAAGGGGAAAACCAGACCACCTCAAGAATATCCTGAATGATGGAATCCTTGGTGATGGACCAACTAGCTCCAGAATGACAGCAGGTACTCTCTTGGAAGCCACTTGATTCTGAAATAAAAGCTGGTTCAGACTTAAGGTCACTGATTTGAAGACATTTACAGAAGTTTTTGCATGTGTTTCAACCTTAATCCTCCAAGATTGAGACTGTTAAAATATGACAGTAGCAACAGGTAAAATTGGTTCTCAGAGATTACGAGGCAGAGACTGGCCCCAGCCTGCTCTACTCTAGTGCATGGGACTTGCAGTGTTGCTTGAGAAATGTGTCCCAAATCCTCCTGAAAGCCACAGAGTATAACAAGCCAGCAGAAATTTACTTCTGATTTGGTGACCTCAGTAAGTCTAGTGTTGTTGTTTAACCTGACCTTGCAACTCATTCCCTAACTACTGTGACTGTGGTTTCTTCTCACAGAGTATCTCATCACAGTGGTCCTCACAGCAACTTCTGAGGTTGACAGAGATTGTATTATTATCCGAATCTTAATAATGAGGAAAATCAAGTTTAATGAGGTTTAGTGAATTCTCAAAAGCATACAGTTAAGCAGTGAGGGGAGAATTCAGTTCCTATATCTCATCTTCTGCTAATTCTGACCATGCCATAGACATGTTCCCATTTGTCCCAATGGTTCTACCCCACTAGCTACAGAAAGAATGAAGCAGGAAACTTCAGTGCATCATGTCGTGCCTGGGCTAATGAGCTAGGAGTGGCATCTCATATGACTTGATCTTTGTGGGTTTCCTCTAGTAAATTGAGAATGGAGATAGACTTAGTAAAATTATTATATTTTGGGTCAGAGACCAGCTCTTCTCAAGAGAGTTCTTTCTACAGATGGAAAAGATATGTTAAAATTGCCAAATAAATTAGGAAATACTTGGCAGAATCTGGAAGATACTCCAGACTGGCGTTACATAACATGCATATACATTATACATATGCACGTTATATAAGGTGACATAGTACTTAATGTGCTGTATATATTATGTAAATTACATATTTGTGAGTAATCATGATAAATATAGAGACCCACTAATCACTTTTTTACACATCCTCAGTGACAGATTAGGAAGTTACTTTGCCAGAGAGTCTTAAAACTTACTCTCTCCTGCTGCTTTGGTTCCAATTCCTGCCAAAAATAATTGCATCAACTTTTCCCATCTCTAACCCCCTCTCCTCTTGGCCAAAACCCTCAGTTACCTCCTGTCCCAGTGAGGCTGTACCTTCCATGGAACACTCCCACAACTGGGATCCACAAAAATAGAATCATGAGCATGGGAAGGATCTAGTCTCCTGGATTCCTTGTCACAGCACACACCTCAACACTCCCAGGCAGGTGGGTACCTAATGCTAATATGAAAAGGAAAGAGGAAGAAGGGAGGGAGAAGGAGTCTACCAGCCCTCCAAAGAAGGGAATTTCATAGTGTTTCTTGACCACCGCTTCCCAGATCCAAAAACAACCAGTCAGGAAGTATTTCAAGTGCTTGGTCTAAGTCTCCACAGCATATCTGAAACCATAATTTCCTAAAATGTGTTTCATAATAACTGGTATCCATAAAATGCTCCATGCAAAGAGTTCTGTGACCAAGTACTAGATCCCCTTCTAGGAGATACAAAGAGAGCCTTACCTCTAAGAATGCACAGTAAATAACCATAAAGTCCTTTATCTGTCTGTCAGCATCTATAGATTAGAAACACTGCCTTAAGCCCACTATTTCTTCTTCTTCTCAGTGAAATGGGAACATACAAGTAACCATCCTCAACAGTAATATTCCAAAAAGTACTTTTCTAGGACAAAGAGTCTCCATTCATAAGACACTCTTTCTGGTTTCCTCAATGTGATTGTTTAACTACTGCTATTATTCCACTCTAAATGTTTTCAAGCAAGAATCAAGGATCTGGATTCTTTGTCCTCCTAATGGAGAAAAATTAAGGGAAAAACATGATAGCTATCAGGGGTCAAACTTCATCTGCATAGCTCTAGAGACCAGAACTAGTCTATAGAACAGTCACCTGCTCTTGTAGGAAAAATCTTGGCCTGGTTAGGTAGGAAACAAGGAGTGGTTCATCTGCCTTGTTCAAAAGTGTCCCTTGTTAAGTGAAAGAGTGAAAAATGACTCCCAGAGAGATTTCTGGATCATTGGGTACTGACTGGTTAGACCACACCTACACAGGGCAGGATTAACCAGATTCACTGGCATCCTCAGTGGAAACTAGTGCTGGTGATCTCTCCTCAGTAGCTTGGAGAATTAAAGGAATGAGCTACAGTATTAAGAACAAAAGAGACTTTGTATTTCCAGTGGGATCCATATTAGTGGTTTGGAATTCCTATCCTGTCACAAATACCAGACCTGCATCTGACTTGCAATAGCAAGGAAAAAGAAACTGTCCCACATCTCAAATATCAATCAAGTTTGGATAAAATAAGAGCCGAATTGCATAAAATTTCACATGGAGCCATTGATTTTAGCTCGCCTTGATGTTTCATCATACTGGAGGACATCTTTCAACTTTCTCCTATAGAGAGAAAACAGGGAAGGGAGATCAGAAAGGGAGTTCCCATTTATTGCTAATTGGGTGCAAGGCACCGTGTCAAGGTCTCTTCCTGTGCTAACCCATTTCATCTTCAAAATGGCCTATGATATGGGCATTGTACTTGTTTCACAGATAAAGAAATTACTGCATAGAAAGGTAAAGTACATTGTCCAACATCAAACAGATAGCAGGTAGCCAGGCTAAGACTTGACATGGGTCTGTCACACATCAGAATTTATGCTTTTTATACTATATTTTAGTGCCTCTAACATTCTCATCTGTTTCCAACCCTACTATCATCCTATGTGTGATTACACAACATTGGCAAATTGATAACCTACCTGGTCAACCTCTGGACAGCCATCTAGTCATATTCCTACTGAAGACCTTCCAGTGCTTGTTCACATTTAAACTCAACAGCCTCAGTGGACAGCTGGAACCCAAAACCTCACCCTTGCAATCAGATTGGCAGCCATCCCTTAATCCTCAATGTTTCAGATTCTAGCTCAATGGAACTCATTTCCCAGGGCTACCTAATAGATTTTCTATTCAACTCTGTGAGTGGGAGAACAGTAAGCAGCCTTCTCAGACTTAAATGCCATGGTCAACAGTGACTGGCCTCCATGGGGAAGGAGGGCGAGGGTTGTTGAGGGAGCCTCCAGCAAGAAGGCTCTGCATGTGATCCTCATTAGTGGTAGGCGTGGGATGGGCCATCTGTGTTCCACAGGAGAACAGAATGGCAGGCTGCCTTTCAGATGCCAAGAGATGCTGTCTAATAGGAAGATCCAAAGAGCTCAAACAGCAGAGAGACATCTTTCCTCATGAGCATTTCTGTAGGAAACCAGGGGCACAGAAAACCAAGGATTTTTGGAAGTAAGCTGCTAAACTTGCTGGGCATTCTTACCCTTGTTACTACTTCATTCTTCATGTCCAAGGTGTAGGGTGGCAAACAGAGCTCTAGAGCCTCAGCTGCTAGTTAAGCTCCCTTAGATGGAGCCCACGATGAAGCTCTGTTACCCTGAAATCTGTAGATGGAATGGCAGGTGCAATATAGCAAGACACCAGAGTTTGCAATTAATCCTCCAAGTTTCCCAGGGGTCAGGAAACACTGTGGGTAAGAGAGACAATTTAATTGGATGCTCAAAGAAGATTCTAGAGAAATAATCAGAACACATGGAAGACTACTCTAAATGGGTCAAATTAGGAAAATGAAATTTGGAAGCAAAGAGGATAACATCTAGCCTGGTATTGAACATATAGTAAGTAATAAGCAAATACTTTTAAATTAATGAATAGCTAAAGTGGGTATCTGTCCTTCTACCCTGGAATGGGTAGGGGAAGGCGGGGTAGAGGGGATGAAAGCTTTTAACTAACAGCTCAGGAACTTGAAACCACAGGATGTAGAGGGAGCTCATGGGGGCCTTTAACTACCCAGACATCTGTTGAGTGATGGATGAGCTAAATATGGATCATCAAAGGGCTTTCTAGGTCACATGGAGGGCAGCTTCATGATGCAGAAAATATGAAATTCAACTTGGACAGAAAGACAGAAATATTTGCAATCTACTTCTTAGGAATCAGGTCAGAATTGACAAAGAATAAAAAAGGCAGCACAGAAGTGGAGTGACAACACAGTAAGAGAGCAGCATAATAAGATACAGATCCATGAGATGAAAAGACTTAGAGAACTGGCTTTGTTAGCAAATTTATATGGGCAACGGAGATAAGCATGAACGCTACAGTCTAAAAATGGAAGAAAAGACTAAGAAATCCTTTTTTTTTTATAATCTTAAAGTTGAGTAAATGAGGAAATGTCCAGGCATTAATGAAATTGTTATTAAATAACTATCATTTATGATCTGGTCCAAAGCCTATTGCTTATATGACCACCTTCAAACTTCACAAGAACCCTGTGAAATTGGTGCTATATAATTCCCCATTGACAAGTGAAGAAACTGAGAAACAGAGCAAATCTCATAGCAGGAGATCCAGAATTCATATCTGTCAGTATCTGCCCTCAAAGTCCCTATTTGTGCCTGCAGGGCCATCCATGATTCCTCAGAGCTTCAAGCATGGTGACTGGGATTTAATACCCAAAGCCAATCCCCTCTGCACCACTTACTGACTTCCTTCTCGAACTGGAAGTCCAGGTCCCTCTCCTCCCCCTGCCCCACAGCTGGAGTGGGGAGCAGCTTTCCTCTGTCTGGGCACAGAAGCCCACTGAGGAAAGGAAGCCGAGAGGTATGTACACCTCACCCACCTCTCTTCTTCTTAGGTCCTCTGGCCCAGACACCAGCTAAGGCCACCTCCTAAGACACAATTCAGAGAACAGACAGCTAACAAGGAACACGTGGTGAAGAACACAACCAGCTCAGAGTATTCACATAATGTTAAAGGTCATAATAAAAGATAGACAAAAACCATATTAAAGATCAGGAGCAAGTGAAATGAGGTCAGGTAGTCAAACATCAGAATTTAGTAACTAATGTCTAAAGGTGGAACAGAGATTCAAAATACCTTTAAAAATCTGTGAGGTAAATCGTAATTTGGGATAAAAAGACTGCTTCTAGAATGATGAAAAATATTTTCTTTCCAAACAAAAAATCCTTTTTAAAATGAAATCTTAGCAAGAACTACAAGGTGAGGGATAATAAAATGGTAATTTATTTGGAAATGAAATTTAAAACCCGTCTAAATAAGCAGCAATCCAGAAGAAGATTCCAGAAAGTCTGCATTTTCTGTTGGACTAAACAGCAGTACTTTCAAAGTAATTAATGAACTTACTTTTTTTTGTCTCTTTTACTTTTTTTAAGAAAACTGGTACCAGTTGGTTACCAGAAAATGGCATGATCTTCAAGAAAAGAAAATTTTCCTGGTGAATATTTCCTTTCTTCCCAACATCCTAGAGGTAAAAGGATTGAGAATTAGATCTTTTAACTCAAAGAACCACATGTGCATGGAAAACTTTGAAAACCATACATGCATGGAGGATATTAAAAACAGAGGATGTCATTGAACTTCTGTTTGGGGTTTGCAATCATCATACTCTGCTACCACCAGGCATAAAGGTAATGATGAAAAACCTAAGAGCATTAATCAATTCCCACCACCCATTCCCTGTCAGCCTCCTAAACTTCTCCACCACCAACCCCCTGTCCCAAGTCAAATATAATTCCTGGAATCACAACATGTGGGAATAATTTCTTTTTATTATGCACATTTTCAAACAGATAAAAGAGTCGTGAGTATGTGTATACACACACACATACACACACCTGTCACTTAGATTCAACAGTTGATATCATTTTGCCATATTTGTTTTATCTTTTTTTACACTGAAATATTTTTAAGTAAATTATAGATGTCATGACATCAAACACCAAAATACTTACTCTTACAGCAATATAAGGAATCCTTTCTTAAGCGTTAAAGGTTGTGTGTATCACATTGCTGGAGGAAGAAGATTTCAGGGTGTTGTGCATAGGAGCTCAGTCATTTCTCAACTGACTGAATCCAGTTGTCACAAATAGAGGTTAATCAGGACAATCATTCTAACATTCATGAGGAGAAAGTTTTGGGTAAGGAAAGTCTTAGCTGTGCTCAAACATTCCTGATTGATCTGGAGAGAAGGTAAGCAGAGCATTAGCTAAATTCTCAAAAGGCACAGATGGGGAAGGGCTCTAAGCACCAACAACATGGAAGAGTTAGAAATTTACCTGAACAATGAATGTTCTGTTTTTGAAATAAAAATTGTTTATAGCATTAGTAGTTACAGAAAGACTGGGTGTGGGATTATTTTGCACAGGTAAAACATCATATCTGCAGATTCATTTAATCATAGAAAAAACAGTTGTAGTTATTGTCCCCATAATGTGAGGAAAATGAAGCCTGATAGGGAGTGGAGGGCAGTAAGCTACTGGGACATAACTGAATTGGAAGTGTGTCAACCCCCAAAAGAATGTCTGGAAAGCCTGGTTGAGAAGCTTGTCTCCCTTATGCAAGGTGAGATATCATTTTCAGTAGGCTGAGTGTAAGGGAACCGGGTACCATACAGCTTGCTCTGTGCTCAGCTGCCGAGCTGGGGTCAGGGCAGCTGACTGCAAATGTTTTGGACAAGGTGTTTGGTTAGTTTGCTTGCAAAAGTCTCCCAGCTCAGTGATTCTGCCAAACAGAAGGGCAGTAGGCAAAATGAGTAACAGCAGGTTCTAGAATATTCAGCCGGCCTCAGTCAATAAGTGAAATGTTTCCTATTCAAGAGCAGCCTAGGTGGCAGCAGCAACTGGGAACCAAGGCCTGATTCCCGGCTTAGGACTGGCAGAGCTAACTGAGCACCCATCTGGCTTCCCACAAGGGAGAAAGAAAAGCTATTTTACCCATGCCCCCGGTACACATCTGCATGCCTTTGACTCATTAAACACCCCCCACACCATGGGGTTCAGAAGAACAAGCACCACTTTCTCCTCTTCTGACATTACTGCCATAACGAATACAAGCCTATGTTGATTGACTTTAAGATGGAAATTGTTTTCATCATCTTGAGAGTAGGAACATGTTTTCTGCCCAGAGCACCCCCTCTTTGGAAGAACACAATCTCTTCTGCGCTCCCTGCTCCAGCCTAACCCCTGTCCCTGAAGCCCAGGATCCGATGATGGGTCTGAAAACACATGAGCTCACTGGAGCTTATATAAGAGCTCTTGGCAGGCCTTCCTGGGAGCACACTCATGTTTGCCTTGTCTAGGCACTGTGAGTTTCCTTTTCTCTATCTCCTCGGAACAGAGAGGCCTATCTGTACTACTGTTCTAGACGCCCGCAGCAGGGAGAGGATGCACAATGATCTGTTCTATATACCAGTGATTAAAATTGGCAGTTTTCCTGAGGGGGAAATAAGTATTCAAAAGACCAAGTTCACTGGCATGTGTTGAGCCCCCTTCACGGTGCCACTGCCCCTTTCCTGGGCTCTCTTCCACGATGAGTCCCAGGGGCTTCAGCTCGCTGCAGAGGAGCAATGAGAGGAAAAAGAAGCTGGGATCGGCGGGCAGAAGCCTCCCTGCAGCCCGGAGGCTCCGGCTCAGCCATCCTGCTGAGGTGTCTGTGCGCAGGGCGCAGGGCCCAGGGCTGGGGGAGAGACAAGAGCGGTGGGAATTCCCTCTTTCCCCAAAGGGAAAAAATGTGTGGTGCTCGGTCAGACGTTCTCCAAAGCAGGTTAGCTGAGGAAACTGACCCTGCGTCCAGTCGGCCTGGGGAGAGCTCCCATCCTTTCCCAGACTGCATCTTCGGGAGGCGGAGAGAAACTTTTGGAAATTGTACTCAGGAAACTCAAAGGGAAATGAGGAGAAAGAGAAACCCAGGGAAGGCCACGAGCGCAACCTCCAAATTCAATGGCTGTTTTACACGGCTCCCAAGAGGAAAAGATTTCTGAGGAAAGGAAGGGAGTAGGAGGGGCCGGTGAGGCCTCGGCGGTGACGGGCTCCTGTCTGCTGCCTCGGACCTGCAGGGCTGGGCAGCTCAGGCAGCGCCAGAGCAGACTGGGCGCTCTCACCCTCCTTCCTAGGCTTCACAGCCACCACCCAGGGACACTTCCTGCCCGCACGGAGTCGGCCGGGACAACCCACTCCTCTCCCTCTGCTCAGCATGGCACTTCTTCTCTCGTGGGGCCACCTTACTTCCCACCCTGACACCAGTTAGCAGTGGGGACTGGGGCAAGTCATACCTGTTTTCCCACATGTAAAACAGGGCTGGAGAGAATGATTAATGTATTTATTCATCAATAAATGTTTTGTTATTAAACATGTCTCTTTGCCAGACACTGGGTCCTAACTTCTTAACATGTTTCGGTGAGGTTCTCTTACCTTTTCTCAGTCTTTTCCAATCATAGTCTGCTTTTCTCAATCTCCACCCACCCCCAAGCCTGCTCCTTCCACATTTTCTTCTTTCTTTTATTCTCAGGATGTCTTTCTTCCTTTTTTCCCCCTGTGATCTATTTTTAGAGCATTTTAATATATACATAAATCAGAGAATCAGTGGAATCTTAAGGGCACATCTTAAGATAATCCACTTAGTTATCTCCAGGCAGGTCTGTGCTTAAAAGGCTCAGGCAAGATCAGAGTACATCATCCAGGGCCCAATTTCAGGATGCATTCAAGTATCTCACAACTTCTCCCATCAATAAGTTGTCCTCGATGTCTAATTTAAACCCTTTTGTTCAATGCTACTCTCCTTTTTCTCTTACCTTTGAGTCTCAGGCACAAAGCATCTTTGTGGTTACAGGTGTTTTACCTGTTGAGTTTAACCCTCAGTGACATAGTTAAACATCTCAGAGCAGAAGGGTATTAGTTCCAGTATGAAAACAGCAGAACCAGGAACAAAGAAGAGACTGGAGGCCACAGAATTTAAGGGAGTTTGGCTGCAGTCAAATCAACAAAAACAGAATAAGCAAAAACCCACAAAAAAAAACACAAAAGGAGTTACAATTTCTGATAAACCATCTCAATTTACAAGAAAAATCCATTGAGCAGGGAGTCCTGGAATCATAGACCCCACCGGTTGGAAAGGCCCTTCCTTAGGTGTCATCCAGTCCAACTTTTCAAGCTGAGTTGGTGGCCAACATGGCATAATGTCTGTGCTCTGTTGACTGCAGTTGAATAACAAACAGTGGTCATTCAGCATTGGTTCCTATGTTACCATATACAGAATTACGCTCCAAAGTCATTTTTCCCAGGCCTCTGGGTAGGAGGCAAGCCAGGTCTGTGCTTGGAGCCCAGTGCTTCAGATGTTGCCCATTTTGATCTGTGTGGACCTGCCAAGGTGGCTTACAGTCTTGATAGAGGCACTGTGTCTGATGGGTGGGTCACCCGATAAGGAAGTAGATTCTAAAGCCTTTAGCATTGCTTTCTTTCTCTCTTCTCCAGATGGCAGGAGGCAGGAGACCCACCTAAAGAGAAGAGGGTCCTACAGCAAGTTGCTGAACTGGCTTATAGCACAGTTGCCCTCTTCCATAGAATGGGAAGGAGTAAACTTTTGGGCATCTCTGTACCATCATCTTCAACACTCGGTAGATATCTCAGAGAAAGTGTTATTGTTAGCAAGGTAATCATAATTCCAAGAAGCCACTGCTAAGGGGGTTCTGATGGATGCTTTTCTCTCCCTGCAGGAAATAAGTAAGACCCTTCTGTCTTGGAAAAGTCTGGCAAATGTTCCATAGAAACTACTGTGGAAGGGTGGCATTCCATATCCTGTGATGGCAGGAGGGATGACACCCTACCTGGGAAACAAGAGCAGCCCAGGGAGTGGGCTATGATCCTGCCCCAGCTGCATGGCCTTGGACCTGTCCCGTAGCTTTCTGGGACCTCTCTTTCTCCATCCACCAAACAGGGCCTCTAAAGACTTTTCCTCTTCAATGATCTTGCCTTCTTTACCTGGGATAAATACTGCAGCCATAGGAGAGAAGGCAGGGTCCAGATTCTCATGGGTCTTCTGCCAGGCCCGAGGCTTCCCTCAGCCCTGCTGCCCTGGAACACTACTACTACTCCTCAATGGAGAATGTTCCCTTCCTTCTTGAGGACTGATTGTCAAATCAACAAAAACAGAATAAGCAAAAACCCACAAAAAAAAACACAAAAGGAGTTACAATTTCTGATAAACCATCTCAATTTACAAGAAAAATCCATTGAGCAGGGAGTCCTGGAATCATAGACCCCACCGGTTGGAAAGGCCCTTCCTTAGGTGTCATCCAGTCCAACTTTTCAAGCTGAGTTGGTGGCCAACATGGCATAATGTCTGTGCTCTGTTGACTGCAGTTGAATAACAAACAGTGGTCATTCAGCATTGGTTCCTATGTTACCATATACAGAATTACGCTCCAAAGTCATTTTTCCCAGGCCTCTGGGTAGGAGGCAAGCCAGGTCTGTGCTTGGAGCCCAGTGCTTCAGATGTTGCCCATTTTGATCTGTGTGGACCTGCCAAGGTGGCTTACAGTCTTGATAGAGGCACTGTGTCTGATGGGTGGGTCACCCGATAAGGAAGTAGATTCTAAAGCCTTTAGCATTGCTTTCTTTCTCTCTTCTCCAGATGGCAGGAGGCAGGAGACCCACCTAAAGAGAAGAGGGTCCTACAGCAAGTTGCTGAACTGGCTTATAGCACAGTTGCCCTCTTCCATAGAATGGGAAGGAGTAAACTTTTGGGCATCTCTGTACCATCATCTTCAACACTCGGTAGATATCTCAGAGAAAGTGTTATTGTTAGCAAGGTAATCATAATTCCAAGAAGCCACTGCTAAGGGGGTTCTGATGGATGCTTTTCTCTCCCTGCAGGAAATAAGTAAGACCCTTCTGTCTTGGAAAAGTCTGGCAAATGTTCCATAGAAACTACTGTGGAAGGGTGGCATTCCATATCCTGTGATGGCAGGAGGGATGACACCCTACCTGGGAAACAAGAGCAGCCCAGGGAGTGGGCTATGATCCTGCCCCAGCTGCATGGCCTTGGACCTGTCCCGTAGCTTTCTGGGACCTCTCTTTCTCCATCCACCAAACAGGGCCTCTAAAGACTTTTCCTCTTCAATGATCTTGCCTTCTTTACCTGGGGTAAATACTGCAGCCATAGGAGAGAAGGCAGGGTCCAGATTCTCATGGGTCTTCTGCCAGGCCCGAGGCTTCCCTCAGCCCTGCTGCCCTGGAACACTACTACTACTCCTCAATGGAGAATGTTCCCTTCCTTCTTGAGGACTGATCATGCTCAGAAATCTGATATAGGAGGCCAACATGAAAACAAACCCTACGAGGAAACTCTTTGACAAGCCCTCCACCTATACACACACTCACGCACACACATATACAGACACACATACTCAACCCCTGAAGCGTAAGCATTTTCCCTTCTGTGTATCAAACTTTTTTTACCCTTTCGAATTGCCAGTGTGTTAGGAGAGAATTCATTACCACAGATGGAAAAGCACTGCTTCCTCTTGGAGACCTTAGCTAAACCTCAGTGTTTGGGGGTGAACCTGGTCAACAATTGAAGCTAGAGGTCCTACCACACTTCAACAGAGGCCACAAATGCGGACTCTACCAGCCAAGCTTGAGGCAGTACCAGGGTCCAGATCCTTCCCTTCTTTCTTGTCCACCTTCACTGCCCCCAGCCCCCACACATATATACGTTGTTCTTTAATGGTGGTTGCCTGCTTGAGCCTGCCTGTGTGCCTGCATAGAGTGCCGTGGACTCATTTTGTAACGTACTATGTACATGTACGTCCTGACTCTCTGGTTTACTGCAAATAAAAATGACAGCAGATGGCTGACCTCTGTCTGCCTGGTGGTTTCTGTTCACGCCATTGCTTGAGAAATCCAGACAGTTTGATCAGCCACAAAGCACTAGAGACGTGCAGGCTTCTCTAGACGATTCTGTAGCATTTCCAGTTGTCCACTGCAGGGGAATACCAGTGATATGCCAGGACTGGGAATAATGGAAACCCTCTGTTGCCATTTTCCTGGTGTTGAAGGAGAGGGAAAGGAAGCCAAAAATCCTGTTGAATAACCCCTTACTAAACATTTCATATACCTCACCTCACTGCCATCTGAAAAGTCCCCTATGAGGTGATTAGCATTTTATAAATGAGGAAAAAAGGATCAGAAATGGTAATTACTTGCTCAATAAATAACACAATAAGTCACCAGTTCTGTCTCCCTCAAATCCAACATTCATGCTCTTTCCTCTAAGCTAGTGTTTCAAGTGTGGGGTGTGACTGCTTTCATCAGAAACACCTCAAGTCCAGATTTCAGGAATCATGATCTGGGACCCTGAAATTTGGTATTTCATAAGCTGGGATGGTAGATAGCCCCTTGTGCCCACAAAAGTTTGAGAACCACTCCACCACACCCTGCTGGGAGAACAGGACCTCTCTGGGAGGACAGAGACAAGTCAGAAGCTGGAGCCTTTAGAAGGCCACCCTCAGCCTGAAGAGACCTCAAGAGAAGCAGGTTAGGGATGAAAGAGCAGATGGGAAGCAAGGCTGAGGACTTCACATCAGCATTGGCTGCCCGCCCCCACCCCAGAATTTAGCCCTAAGAACAAGTCCATCAGCTGGTTTCCAATCCTGTGCCAAGGGTTCAAGATTATACCTGGGTGGGGCTAGGCAAGGAGGTGAGGGCCCAACGCGGCAGGGACTGGGGCTGCCGTGGGGCAGCAGCCTCACAGAAAGAAGCCACGGATGCCTTACAGCTGCTCGCAGGCTCCTGCTGCCTTTTCAGCCCCCACTTTCCTACCCAGATAGCCTGGTCCCCAGGAACTAAAGAGCCACTGCTCTTGTCTCTCCAAGCTCTTCTGGCCACAAATGGCTTCCAAAAGCCCCAGGACACATGCCATGAACCCTCCATGCTTTCCAGTCCCTGCTGTCATCCTCTGGGCTGGGCAAGGACTCTGGCCTCAGGAAAACTAACCAGAAAGTTACTCGCTTCTACCCATTTCCTCCTCCTTCCACCTGCATCTCCTGAGTTTTGTTTTGTGCTTCCGAGTCTGAGTGGAGGTTTCTGAAATGATGGTGGGGATGTTTGAGGTGGGGCAGTGTGAGAGAGATGCCTAATTGCTACCCAGGACAGTGCGAAATGCTGGAAATAACCTGGCTGCCCACTTAACAGGAGAGGCGGCTATGCTCTCACCCTCCCAGCAACACTATGCGTGAAAAATATTTTCCTCAAGAAAATAGCTTTTCTGAACTCAACAAATTTAAAAAACACCTCTCTACAGAATTTGATGTAACCAAATCAGCAAAATACTTAAATTATGAATCCAGAAAGTAGTTTATGGTATAGAACTCTTATAGTGAGGATTCTCTTGAATCTTTGTAGCTAGCAAAAGAATTGGGTGAACAAGAAAAATGCTAGTCCATTCAAGAATAAAGGCCGTTAACAGTTGTGTTTGCATTTTAAACAATAGGGAAGAAAAAGCCATTTGCTATAGTACTTACAAGATTTTCTATCATGTGGCAGGTTCCTGCTTCTCTCCCACTGAACAGGTTACTGTGTGCCCTGAAAAGTAACAAAACTGCCTTTGTTTTCAAATATTCTTCCCTCCTACTTTCCATTAAACTAGACTATCAATTATTACAGAAAGATTTTTTTTTTTTTTCATCTAAAACGCTAAAGCCCTTCACAGAGGGAACAGGAAGACAAAGCCAGCAAAAATGGCAACAAGAGGAGGTCAGAAGGAAAGATCAGAAGGAGATAATGGCTGTCTGAGGACTGGAGGGACTGCCAGAGCACCTGGCCTAAACTCTCAGCTGGAGCAAAACTCCAGGGCACAGCCCTCCCCTCACACAGCTGCCTCTGCTGATGGGCAGCCCACTACCTTCCAAGGGAGTCCTTTCAGGAGAGGTCTCTGAGCTGTAAATAGGCTCCTGTTACACCCAAAGATGTTTCCCATTAACTCCTATCCGTTGGGCCCTGGCTTGGCCGCTAGCAACACAAAATAAACCTCACCTCTCTCCTGCAAGACAGCTTTCAGATATTTGAAAACAGCTACCTTGTCCTAGCTAACTCTTTTTTTTTTTTCTCTGGTCTCCAGACTAAACATCCTCTACATCCTTAAATCATCCCTTATATGTCATTGCTCTCAGACCCTAAGCTATTTTTCAAACTTTCTCTGGAACTTCAGCTTGCCAAGGTCCCTCTTAAAATGTGATTCCAGGACTGAGCATAGCACAGTGCCCCTGACACGGGTGGACAAGTGCAGAGCCACATCCCTTGCCCTGGATACCAAATCAGTTTTCTTTGGCAATCATCTCACTCTGGTAACTCATCCTGCCCTCACAGCCAACAACATCTAATAACTACCACGGGTGTGATGCTTCACAAATCACAAAGTCCTTTCAGAAACATAGTCTCATTTACTCCTCCCAACAACCCAGTGAGGTTGATTAAAGATGAGGAAAAAATATGGTTTTCTAAGACCGTATGGCCAGGCCTCAAGGCTTGATCCTCTGACTCCAAATCCATGCCTTTCCAAAACACACCCATGTTGTCTTTGCACTTGAACCTCTGTCCAGACCAAGAAGGTCTCCCTG